ATCTTAGTTTTTGTTTGGTCCAACAACTTTAATTAACTTTTGCACAACATCTTTCATTTGGAACCTAACCAAGAAGTTTGCCCCAAAATGTGGAAAGTTTGCCTCAAATCCAATGAACATTCTTCTTTCATTTCTAAGTTGCACTTTTCACTCAATAGACGCATGCATGGGCGACCGCCCTCCAATCAACAAAATTTATTTTTAGTGTAAGATAGGGATCATAACAAGATGCAATAATCACAGAGGTTGTAAAATATAATTGCTGGAAAGTTCCAAAAGATAATCTTCGAACAAAAGACTTACAGAATGTAACCATGAAGAGCATGAGAGCGACATATATGGTTTTGAAAGCCATGAAAGTGTAATTTATTGAGAGCCTTTTCTTTAATTTTATTGAAAAGAGACTAGAGAGTGACTAATTGAGAAACGAATTATGTTTAGCTCTATTTATAGGGGCGTGAGTTGTATGCATTTGTATTGGTCGCCCAATTCCAACACCCACTAGATTCTAAACAGTCCATTATATAATTATCTTTTTCACTTCACAATATTTTTTATAATGAAGAAATGTCATAAATACATATGTAGAAAGGAAGAGTCAATCCAAAAAATATTTAAGAAAAACTTATAAGACTATCCCAAAAAACAAAGTAGAAGGAATATATTGAAAAAGTAAGTTTTAGCTTGGTGAAGCTAAATAAACCTTGACTTTAAAAACAATTTCAAAAAACGGAGACTAAACCGAGACTGAACTGTTGGGTCATTGATTAGTCCATATAGGGATCGCTGGGTCGTTTACGGGACTGGTCCAAGACCGCCCGATTGTCGATCAGACCAAACACAGATCGTCGGGTCATTCGCCGCACAGGGGCCGTCGGGTCGTTGATCGGACAGGACGGGGACCGCCGGGTGGTTGACCAGACTAAACAGGGACCACCGAGTCGTTGACTAGATAAACCAGATCAGACCGAGACTGCTCGACCGTTGATCAGATCGCACAAGTATTCTTTGGTCGTGGACCGGACCGAACATGGACCATCGGGTCATCGACCAAACCGGACATGGACCACCGGGTCGTGGGCCGGACTTGACAAGGGCCGCCAGGTCGTGGACTGGACAGTACAAGGGCCACCGGGTCATGGACCGGACCGGACCAGACAGGGACCGCCGAGTCGTCGACCGGACTGGGAGCGTCGGGTCATCGACCGGGCTGGACCAGGATTGCGCGTCCATCGACCAGACTAGACATGGACCACCATATCAATGACCGGACCAGACAGCCGAGTCTTTGACCGAACCAAATGGGGCCTATCGGATCGTTGATCGGACCGGACAGGAACTGACACCGGAGCGGGATCGGATCCAACACTAGAGTTGGAAAACTAGTAAAAGTTATTTCTCCCATTCATTAAGGAAAACAGAGACATATCTCATTTTTTATTTTGGAAAATGATTTGGTAAACGTAATTTTTTGTTTTCCTTTCTTCAGTTTTCTAGCAATTGTTTTGGTAAACACGTTTTCTATTTTTTTCCTTTCTAGTTATCCAGTTTTCTGAAAAACTGGAAAATATTTCTGTTAGTAAACATGCCCTAACAATTCTTGTTAATACAAATGCTAGTGTTAGCAATCATAGAGTACATATACAGACATTATATTTAATGTTTTTTGGGCTATATCAATAAAACTTAAATATGATGATACACAAATTTAGGGATTATAATAAAGAGCTTGTTGATAACGCTGAAATTGGCTGAATCGGCTAATTCTGCTAAAATTTATGAAGTTCTGGCTGAGTGATTGGATTGACTGATTCTGCTGAATTATGAAAAAAATTAAATTTAAAATATATTTTATTAATAAAATAGAGAAAAATTTATATGAAAAATAGCCTAAATGGTTATTTATAGTAATTTCAGCCAAAAAAGTAACTTCAAGTATATTTATTTTGATTGTTACACAATTCGGCGCGACGGCGCGCAAAATCAAAATTTACATGTTTGGTGAAAATGTTGACCGATAAACTGAAAAATAGAGTCACCAAGTGAGCTTCAAGTCAAGTCAGTGATATAATTAATATATAGACTATTTTGAAAAGAGAGAATATTAAATAGAACTAACGAAATTTATAAGGAATAGACTAATTTTTAATCAGTTTATTTGATTTTATATTTAGAACTAACACTTCCTGAACTTGCTGGCATTTTAATCTCACACGTACAACATGACTCGTGATTTATGTGATATATAAAGTAATATATTTCTTGCACGGGTAGATCACAACGGAAATGCATGGAATAGATATGGTGTGTATTGATTTACAACAATTTCAGCAAGTCAATGTTTGGATAAATTGCTGGGTTTAAGTTACTAGGTGCATTTTATCAATGTTTGTTCATAAAAGGAGCTTTTAGAAGCTAAATAAAAGGATACTATTCTCAAAAACTAATTTAGATTATGCTTCTGCTTTAAAAAAGAAGAAGCAGAAGCATAATCAATTCTCAGGGACGAATGCAGCTTACAATGGTTGGGGCACATGCCCCAATGATTTGTCCTTTTACTTGTTAATTTTTGTTTTTTAAATACAAATAGAATAGTGTCCCCAATGAAAAACTAGAATGCCCCCATTAATCTTTTCGCCAAACCGTAGGGCCTTTCTATTCCATGGTCAGTTGGTCCTATTTAATTATTTAACCTATTGTTTTAATAATTTAGTTGCAAAAGCCTATTAGGGTATTTAACTTCTCCTATTTTTCTGGTTAGTATAATAGGATTTTAGTTAATTTTTTTTAGTTATTCTTATTACAATTTTGCTTCCTGAATTAGTAAATTCCAGTTACAATTTAATAGTTTATTTTCTTTATCGTAATTTAATAGTTTATTTAAAAATTGTTTAATTGCTATTTCGATTATTATTACTGAAAGTAGCTGTGTGATTTTGAGTTAATTATTATTCTTTTTAGTTAGTTGCTATTGGCCTCTTTGGTTGTACTTTTGAAATTGTGCAATTCTTTGCTCAATTTGTTAGAGTCCAGAGCCAAATTTTAAACTTGTGTTTTTAGTTTTCCTTTATTAGGATGTGCATGTATTACCGATTAACTATATTAAGGATGAGTTCTCCCGGAAATTTGAATTTATGGAATTTAGTGTTAGATATATGACTAAATATGCTTAGTAATTACTATTTAGTATTTTTATTTCACTTTAGTTAGTGAATAATATAATTTGAAAATGTTTTTCACTTAATATCAATAATTTTTATTCTTATTTGGGAAAATTAAACAATGGTACTACGGTACTTTAAATTAAAAACACTACCTCCATCCAATCTAAATAGAGATGTTGGAGAAAATCAAAATGGAGATGTTGGAGAAAGTTATGAGATAATGCATAACTTAGGGGACCTTGCCAACCTCGTGACCATGAATTTCCTCAGAAAATTATAGACAAAAGATTGCACCTATTAAATCCTTCTTGGTTTGATCAACACAGGAATCGGTTGGAATAAAGTGTCAAATAGGACAAAGCATTTTGTTTGTGTTGCTATTTGTATAGAGATAACTGTGACAATCATGCTGGAAATGACGCTTTTTTGACAGAGGACATTTCTAAAATGAAAACAAAGTTGTGATGGATCGTTTTCAAAATATGAAAACTCGTCGAGAGTAGTTGTAACATGTAATATTTTTCATCTTCCTCATATTTGATTATTTTATCTTTTGAAGTTAATTTATGTTTAGTTATTAAAAAAATCACTTTTACTTAATAGGTGCCCCCAATGGTTAGATTTTCTGGATCCGCCCCTGTCAATTCCAAACACTCCTTGAATATTCATACCATTGTAAGGATGTGCTTACATTTGCTTAAAAACACTTTTTTCAATTTTAACTTTGGAAAAGATAAAAAATGTTATTAAATGAGAACCTCTACTTTAATTTAAGCAAGTTTAAGCCAAAAGTGAAAAGCCCGCAAAAAGGTGTTTATTTATGCTTCTTGGTATTCCCATAAATATTTAATAAGTCCAACTACTTTTGGGATACTTTCATTCTTATTATATAGATCAATTCAAAAGTATCCTTAGGGGCAGTTTACTTTTTTCCATTAAATCCTGAATGGATTAAGAAGTCTCTTTGTATTAAACTGTCTGTCTGGATTAAGTGACACTGAGAAATGAATTGTTTACTATATGTGCTGCATGAGAAGTCTGAGTCATATAAAATGACTGAATAACTTTTCTCTGTGAAACAAGTACTGAATGTATATTGTCTGCTTACTTTACTTGTTCATAAAGATGATTTCATATGCCTAAAAATAATAATATTACAAATTACTTAAATAAAAGAGTAAACTTTCGTGATAACAAAAGGTCAAGAATTTTACGACATCATATTAAATATAAACATTTCCTAATACTTCATTAGCAATTTCATCTCGCAAATTCGTCATATATTGTAGGTTGTTTTTACCCTCTTGTGCTCCATTTACCCCCCCCCCCCCCCCCCCCCCCAAAAAAAAATCATAAATTAGTAAGCAAGCAAGCAACTTCTTCGCCCAAAAAAACATATATGCTTTTTATTCAAATAAAACTGAGCTAGGTATGAAGGTAGTTACACTAGTGGATTGCTTCGGAATTTTCTTCCATTTGCTGCTTCAAATTCAATTCATAAGTAATCAGATATGAGTGTATAACGGAACAATAAAGAAATAGAAATCTATATGGATATAAAAGTCGAAACTTGAAGGAATAATCTAGACAACTATGGAGTACGAGATATAAAGATCAGGTTAATATTTTATCTTCCTTCGAGAAATGCGTTCTTCAAAGGGATGGTAAGAGAAGCGGTGATCTAAGGTTAAAAGAGAGAGAAATTTCTGTTATCGTGTCTGAAGCGGAGGGAGTGCAGATTTTGGGCTGAGCAAATAAGTCATGTTTTGTTTGAGCGAATAAGTCATCTTTTTTATTAAGTTGTAGGTAAACACAACTTAATGAAAGAATCATTAAGTCACCATCTTCATTAAGCCCATTAAGTCCTACGTAAACAACCCCTTAGTCCTAAAAAAAATAAAGCATCGTGCGACCACACTTCCATCGTCCCACAAGCTTGTTCTAAGGATTGAAATAATTGCCACTAGCTATATGCTTCGTTGCCCACCACTTTACTTTGCCACCAACCTTTTTTTAAGCAAGTGAGAAGAAGAAAATAACATAATCTCTCATGAGTAAAGCTACTTAAGAAGTGAAATGAAAACAACACCTTACCAAGATATAATACAAAAACTTAGTAACCACCCTTTAGATCATTGACAACATCATGAGGAATGGGTGTCACAGTCTCCAAGGTAGCACCTTCTACCACGTTCCTCTCCACATCGAGGAAGTGAATGATAATATTGAACAAGTAAATGATGACCCAGAAGACGTAGATGATGTTCAAGATGGCGGAATTCCTGATCAGGGGGAGCCTTCATCTGAAGACCATGCTGACAACGCTCAACTTCGACGTTCTACGCGAGGTATAGTTCCACAAAGAAGATACCCGACATCTGAATGGATCCTTCTTACTAGCGAGGAGGAGCCAGAGAGCTTTCGAGAAGCTCAATCTCATCATGACAAGTCCAATTGGTGGGAAGCCATGGGGGATGAGATGAAATCCTTGCAAAAGAACCAAACTTATGACTTGCAGAAGAACTTTGCCACCAACCTTCACCACAAATGTCTTAAGGAGTAGTGGAACCATTATTACAATTAAGCTTGCCCCTTTGTTACTACCCATTGGCCCATAGCATATTAGTGCAATTTGGCTAATGCTTCAATGTAGAATTAGAATACTCTCCCAAGAGTGCTACTTCATCTTGATAAAAGAGTATTAGATATGTCGGTCATTAGAAATGTTAGTTATAGGGGAGGGTTCAAATACAAAGAGACGTTTTCATGCAAAGTGAAAATAAATCGTGTGCATTCAGTTTAGGATCTAATGGTTCAAAATAAGCTAATAATGCACTAGATTCTATAAAAAAAACGTGGTGGCAATTTCGTAGATATTGAAAGTTTTTTACCTCCTCTAAAAAATGCGGCAGAAACATGAAATAGTGCATCACATTGAGCTAAAGTGCAATTGTTCGCACTTTGCACAGGAACACCACTTTTTATTTAAACTCTCCCATATATATGTGTGTGTAAGTGTGTGTGGGTATTTCATGAATGTTATAATAAGGGGAACTGGTGGCAACCACATCTTATAACTTAATTATAATTATTTTATTTAAATATTATTTTTATGAGTATTGATCTTGTTGGAGTTAGATCTCTTTGAGTAAAAAGACTTCCATTGTAGTTGAGGGTACTAGCTTAGAACTAGTATAAATACACCCTTCATAAATCAACATACCTCTATCAATATTCAGTGTTATATATAACTTCTTGAGAAAAAATGTTTTAACTTTATCTTCAAGGGAGATCTAATTGATCTTTCTTTGAAAAGGAGAAATCACGTGCATATCGAGGTTAATGACTAAATGCCCTATCAATTTGGATGATCTATAAGTTTGCATTGAATTCTTGTATTATCGTTTATTGTTCATTATTTTGTCATAGTAAGAGGTCTATCTGGAAAAGTTTTAAACTTCTGCTATGATACTCTCGAGGTATGTTACGTATATTTCATAACAAAGAAAACATCATCATTGTCTTGGACTTGATTTCATCATTGTTGGTCCAAAATATGACGTTCAACACCACATAGAACTAGAGAGCAACAATTGTAGTCCCAAAAGACCCTATAAGACAAGAATGAGAGAGGAGAATAGTAAACATTATTATGGTTTAGTGAGCAAAAATCGATGGTCAAATGTGTACAATGTAGATCATATTTAAGTACAATTGGAGTCTCGTATAGGCTCTACAAGAGACGATAGTATTCAAGTACATTTGTCCTATATGGCATGACTTCATGTGGTGGTTTTCTCTCTTAGGTGCCTTGATCCTATCCAACATTGGTTCATAGTGCATTACTGATTGTGTCACTCGCAGGCTGGATGGAAGGTGTCACCTTGAGAGTAATGCGCACGTGTACATGAGATAAGTCTGGAAGATTCAAATCTCCTCAAGGGAAACTGGTCGAATATGTTTGACAGACCTTCTATGCAGGCAACATCCAACCGACCAAGTAGGTTGAACTGAGGATTTTTTTTCCCCTTTCCTTAGTTGGATTTTTATCTTTACGGGGTTGTGTTGAGCTCATAACATGTCTGAGGCTCAATAAGCTACTAGCCCATCAATCATATAAAAAGCATTATACAACATACAATTCACAAACAAACTTAGTGATTAAATCTAAAAAAATTGTTCCACACTACAACTTCACTTATAAGTGAAACAAGACAACACTATTATGAAACACTCTAAGTTCTACACAAGTTTTCAACAATATACAATATTACAATATAAACAAAAATCACTTACAATCACGCGTAGGTGTCTCACTATATCAAGTTGCGATTTGATTATAATGTTCACCCACGCGCAGGAAAAACTACAACCTAATCAATTTGTTGAGTGGCATGTCAATATAATATATAGCAATGAATATGTTTCATGCTTAGTCAAATATATAAATAGAATCAATTCTTTTGTATGTTGGTGAAAATATTAGCATTGTTAAATCATTATTTAAGCACAGAAAACAAAGCTAAAGCACATGGGAATATTGAGAATTTCTTCTCCATATTGGTAAACGTTATGAAGTATTAACATTGTCAAATATTGAGATAAACACACAAAGTAAAACTATTTACTAGAAAATATGAAAATCACAAAAGAGATGAAGATCTTCTTCATGTCTAAGCTCCACCTAGATTAGCCTAAAATTTGTTGAATAAGACTCGTGGTGCACATTGTGTGTAACACCGTCCCCAAATATATTTACTTTTAAGTAAATGATGTAATAAACCTTATGGAATGATTTATGAATTTACGAAGTTGTAAATTTTTGGTATTTCTTTCGCGTGAATAGTAAATTGCACGTGGGACCCACATCGGGAGCGGGGACCACCCAATATTCCCGAGACCACATATTTTATTCATCTTGGTCGAGATAATATTTATATAGTGGTGGATATCTTATTTGGGCCATGGGAAGGCCTGGGGTTGACCGATTGGTCAAAAGAGGGCCAATTACTGGTACCGACAAATTATTAGCTAACAGCCCGAAAATAAATTTCAGAGACTTCTAAATTTAAGTTTTGGGATATACATTATTTCAAAAGGTCATTATGATTGAGAACACATAATATATTTTATTTTACCTGATAAAATAAAATATGATTAAAACAGTCCGAAAAATACAACTTTCGGGGTCGAATGTACAATTCGGGACAAGTTGGGATGACCTCCCACATGAGTGGGGGGCACCCCACGTTTTTATGTGCTAAACACATCAAATGAAGGCTGGGTTGACAAAAGGAGATGAGGAGGAGATGCATTTGGCATCAAAGGTACAATAGGGAGGACCCATCCCCACATTATTTTGAGAGAAAAGCCAAATAGGCTATCTCCTCACTCACCCACCCCATAATTCCGGCCAAGCTATCAAAAGAGGAGGAAGAGGAAGCTCTCAAGCTATTCTCCATTGCTGCAACTCGAGCTCAAACAAAGGTTGTCCAAGGAAGAAGATTAAAGAAGCAAAAAAGCTAGGAAAAAGTGTGAAAATTAAGGTAATAACCTTATCATAACTATTTCTTTATTTTTCTTCTACCATATGAAGTATATATCATATGAAGGACCTTGAGTATGGTTTCACATGTTATAAGTATGGATTTATGGGTTGGAAGGTGGTTCTACGTCCAAGAACGGACTTGGGAGCCAAAACAACCGGTTCGCCGGAAAATAACCTTTTGAGGTTATTTGTATTAATATGGGTTTTATGATTATAAAACCTTGTTAGGAACTTGAGTAAGGAATTTCAAGAACTTTCACAAAAGTTGAAAAAGTCACCGGAGTTCCTCAAAAGTCGCCGGCGTCGGAGTTCAACCAAGAGGGGTAGAACTTCATAGCGCTAATTCGAGGTGAGTGGACGGCTTAATATCTTATAACTTTTGGGTTAATTGTGAGATTACCTAAATAAATGTTATATGTGTTCATAATGATGTTTAAAAGATATTTAAACATGCGATTAGCCAACATGGTTAAGTTTGTATAAAAGAAATTAATTGTTTATGCATGGAATATGATATGAAGAATTATATAAAATGCACATTTGTTTGAAGTTTAAAAGAAGCACAAATGAATATTATTAACTTAATTATATGATGATTAAGTTGATATGTACAAAGCTTGAAATGGCGGTCAACGACAACGTTGACCGATGGATAATGGATTAATTAATATCGGTTGATATTAGTTAATTATAAATTTATATAATTGCATGGTTTGCATGGATTGTGATACATAAGCTTTATGTATTGAATTAGTTATGAATGACCAAGTATGATATAGACTCTATCTAGGTTGATAGGAGGTTGGTCATAGGATTATATTTTGGGGGAAGACCCTAGGACTTAAAAGTCCTTAACACTCATATTTTGGTGGAGGACCCTAGGACTTAAAAGTCCTTAACACTCATATTTTGGTGGAGGACCCTAGGACTTAAAAGTCCTTAACACTCATATTTTGGTGGAGGACCCTAGGACTTAAAAGTCCTTAACACTCATATTTTGGTGGAGGACCCTAGGACTTACAAGTCCTTAACACTCATAAATTGGTGGAGGACCCTAGGACTTAAAGTCCTTAACACTCGAATAATAAATTGGTGGAGGACCCTAGGACTAAAAGTCCTTGACACTCAAATATAAATTGGTGGAGTACCCAAGGATTATGATCCTCAAAACACATAGATTATGATATTGAAATAGGGACAAGGAGGAGTCCTATACACTCATAGGTATATGGGTGGGTTGGGGTTTTTAGTCAAGAATATTGACTATTACTGTTTTTCCCAAATAAAATGGTGATCTACAGATCGGATATTTTCCAAGTATATATATATATACTAATAAGTATTTCATAACTTGGGGGAAAAGACTATTCATATAAGTATCACCCTATGTTTGGGTCTTATACTTGAAACACTAGTTATTCTATATTTAGTCTGCTACTCGCTCGGTACTTGTACTGACCCTTAGGGGCCCCCACCATTTTCAGGTTGAAGATAGGGCTTGCTACTTGCACCTTCTTACGGGTGATATCAACTTTCGGAAGACTTGGTTCGTGCTTCCTTATTTTCTTTCACACTACCGAACACATGCTCATGGATATTTGTTCTACTATAAACTATTTTTGGGGCTTGCATGCCCATGTTGTTGGCCGGTTGTGGCTTATGACTTACCATTGAATATTTCCGTTATTCATTGGTTTAAATGTGATGTTGTTATGTATGTTTACTACTGAGTATGGATGGATTATTTTCTCGAACGCCTTGTGTAATTAAGTGAGGTTGACTCGCGGGTGACGTCACTTGAGTATACGGCGGTTGTACACGCGCTTGGATTGCGGTCTGGGGCGTGACAATTAAGTGGTATCAGAGCCATCTCAGTTCTAAACTATATAATCAACCTCTCGCAAGAGATTTTACAAAAGAGTTTTTACCGAAAACCATGAGCATTGTATTTTGACGCTTATAGGGCTATTGGTGCTTGAGTTGCAAGGTCTCTAATTGTTAAGATGGTACCCTTAGCAATTGGTAAGGCGGCGACTTGGGCCAATACGTGTCTATAACATTCATCCGTCAATTGACATTGATAGGAGTCTAACGACTCATCCAAATTTCTTTTCAGAAATGGAGGGTAGGCGAATGGCAGCCAGGAACAATCTGAGGGGGCAGGCGCCGGTAACATCCCAGAGGGGAAGCCGGACTGCATCTCGGGGTTCAAGAGGAGACCGTGGAAGCCATGGAGGTCATCGGGCTCAAACTGTGAGCGACGGCCATGTTAGTTCAGTGTATGAAACCAACACTGAAGATTATGACTCTACGTATGTTCCTAAGACGGAGCATGAGGAGACCCCATATGATGGGGGTGACGCGTACACTGATGAGG